ATGGTTTTACCTACCGGGACATAATACAAATGATCTAATTCTTAGTTTCACATGGCTTTTCCATTTTTGCTTTATGTTTGTTAAACAAATTACACCGTATGATTCAGTTGCTTGTATAGCCACTTTTAGCAGCAATAAGTTGAAGAAATCATTTTCTGTGCGACTTCATCAGTCTCTCGCATCGTTGTGGGCAGCCTTATGTTTACGTCCTACCACAGAATTTCAATCTGGTTGTGGTCTGGACTTTAACTGGCCAGTGCAACACCTTGACTCTTTCTTTTTCAGCCATTCTGATGTAGATTTACTGATGTTCTTGGGGTCATTACCTTGTTGCATGACCCAGTTTCGGCCAAGCTTTAGCTGTTGGTCAGATGGCCTCACATTTGTCTCTAGAATACTTTGGTATACCGAGGAGTTCATGGTTGACCCAATGACTGCAAGCAAAACTAGCCAAAAATCTTTACCCTTCCATCAGCGTGATGGACAGTTGATACAAGGTGTTTGTGCGGACATGCTGTGTTTAGTTCACCTGTGCATTATGGCTAAACATCTCCACTTTGGTTTCATCTGTCTAAAGAACATTGTTCCAGAAGTCTTGAGGTTTGTTCAGTACTGCCATGTTCTTTTTAGAGAGATGGAGCTTTCCTCCTGGAAACCCTTCCAAACATAGAATGATGGACTTCAAATTGTTTCAATGGCTGCACATATTGTCTGAAAATGGCCTTCCCAGATTAATGGGAGCAACAATCGCTTCTCTAAGATCATTGCTGATGTCTTCCAATTGCCTTCCTTGGCATTGTGTAAACACACATGAATGGTCCAGACCAGTGGCCTCATGTATAAAACTTTGCGTAGATTTCATCCTTAAAGTGGCAGAATTTGCGTACGCACAAAAGTTTTCAGATTTATAAAACCGTTCGTACGCCAGAACCTGCGCAGAATTCACTTTATAAATCCCAGTCAGCGGGAGATTTTGTGCGCACGTGCGTCTCCTCCCCGAAATAACCATATATGGAGATTACAACGCCTAGTTTAAATATGCATATCCTCATCTGCATATCATTTGCATATGATTATTCATCCACGTGATACCAAGTTTAATGGTACAAGACGTTAGGAAAATATGAAATGCGGATGTGCCGTCACATTATTAAACATTTTTTTTTAGTAGCCTATATCCTTGCCTTGTATTTGAATGAATAAATCAAATAGTGTTAAATACATTTCAGAGAAAGTTTTTCTCAATCTTTTCCACTGGCCAAATAGTATTTTTAATTGATTTATATTTTAATGGAAAGAGATAGACATGGTTGTGCATTATTTGCACGAAACAGTTTTCTCAGACAATCTCTAGTTAAAACATTAAAACACAGCATGCCAGAAGAAAAGTGTTCAAAAGCAATGCATCCACAACAAATAGGTCTATTTCTATTTATTGAATATATATATATATATATATATATATATTGTAACTTCTCAGTAATGATTGCATGTAGTTTAAGAGTTTAACTGCAGTAATGAGAATGGCATATTTAATCTAAATGTTTATATCAGAAGTAAAACATAGTTTAAACCATTTTCTTATTTATTTAAACTGTTATTGTGAATATGGACTGTATTTATGATTTGGACTCATAATGAAGATTTACGGTTTTACTCCATCTGCCGTTAGATTATGCTATATGTGCGTCAGTTTCACCAAACGGCCCAACGCGCGTGCTGGAGCGGTCATTTAAGAAGGGATGGACGTTTGCTTCAAGTGTCATAGGTTTGTGAAATTATATTTGTATTATCTTTCTGTAGATGTATAATTTTCTTTAGATTCTCTGTCTAATAGTAAGCAAAAAGACATTTGACTCCAGCTCACCTTCGGTGTCGCCAAAACCTATAATCTTCTAAAAGAGTGCGTACGCACGGTCAAGAGCATCCTTACGGTGCGCACTTATTTACGGCAAGTTTTTTTTTATAAATCCCGATGTGCGCGTGGAAAAATGCGTACGCATATTTCTATGCCCATTTTGTGCGTACGCAACGTTTTGCGTACGCAAAACTTGCAGTTGGTCATGTTTGCTGATGATAAACTAATCAAAGGAATCTGGTAAGTAGACACCCTGACAGCTACTTACCCGCTTATTTCCTGTGGAAGCAGTGAGGGTGTGCTTAGTTTATCACTCATGGCTTCTCTATTTTGGCCTTGTTTTGTTAAATAAATAATGACAAGGTGTAATATGTCATGTTGTTGTTCAATTGAAGATGTATTTACTTAAATTTTGAAGACCTAACAAGAAGAAGATGCTTTCTTTTTATTGTCCTTATGCGTAAAATCATAGAATTAAATAGGGTGTCCTTTCGTTTTCACATGATTGAAATTGGGAAATGTAAAAATGTAAAATGTTTTTCTTGCTCTACTATTGAAACCTAGTTTGGAAGTGACTTCAGATGAGTAAGTTATGTGTCATGCATCTCTACACTTTTGATTATGGAGAACACACACACTCACATAATAGTAGCTGTTCCAGTCGTTGGCTGTGGGTACAGCGGGCGTGTGTGTGGCAGGGCTGGCCGTGTGCGTGTGTGTCGGTGTGATAAAGCCTGGCATGATGGGAAGGGCACTGTAGGTGGGCAGCAGGGTCTGAGCACTGCCATTCAGAGAGGTGTGCAAAGGTGCACTCAAGGGGGTCTTCACCACCTCCACCTCCTATTGAGAGACACGGAGATATCATCAAACATTTATGCTGTATCTATCCAAATGCAACACACACACTATTCAAATTACAGCTCTCTCTCTCACACACACACACACACATCGACCCAGCTGCTGTGCTGAGGAGTGATTGAGTGTTTTCAACAGGATCTCATGTCCTAAGAGTGTCATGAGACTAAGTGAGGAATGTGTCTCTGACCTGTAATACCACCTGCCACCACATTTACATAAGCTCATACACCCAACACAGATACCACCAACACACACATTAAGAAAGACTACTACCACACCAACATATGTATATACAGTATATTGTGGATTTTTTTAAGACTGCACTATTTCTAAGCCATCATTCAAAAAAAAAAAAAAATTGTGACTGTAGAACAAAAAAAATGCATGCAGCTCAAGTGCTGCTACTATTAAAGCAAATGTATTCTGAAATGTTTTAGTTTACTGTAAATGAGAATTCAATGTGAAAAAGGTATTCAATTAAAATTATGACAAATCATAATAATGTCTATAGACTTATTCACACCCCATTCAAGTAATTAATACTTTTATTACTACATTTCTACTTTTATTCAGCATGTATGCATCACATTTTTCCACCAAAATAGTAAGAAGCACAACTGTAATGTTTCTCGAGCACCAAATCAGCATTTTAGAATGATTTCTGAAGGTTCATGCGACACTGAAGACTGAAGGTAATGTCTGCTTGAAATGTTGCTTTTCCATCACAGGGATAAATTATATTATTACAATAGTATATTAAAATAGAAAACAGTAATTTTAAGCTTAATAATATCATATAAATTGTATAATAACCATTTTTTGTTTTTATTCTTGGTTTCATACGCATGCTATTATGGTAGGAAAAACAATCAGTACAGATTTTTAGTGTTGCTGAATGCATACAGTTTATATAGTGTATATGCATATAGAGAAATGAAAGTCTAATTTCTGATCTATTTTGGTCTGTGACAGCATGAACTATCTGCGGTAAGTCAAAGAGTGATCCGTCATAAAGAGAGGCCCTACCATGTCAGTCCCGAAACACTTAGTGGAAGTGGAGGCTTTTGACTTTCCTGAAATCTGTCAGAAGAATTACAGCTGGAGTAGTTTGGGCAGCATGTTAACTGTTTTAGCATTTCTGCTGCAGTGTATATGTGTATTTCTGCACAGTTTAATCCCCTTTTAGTCTGTAGTCTATGAGAGTGACAGGGATGTACACTGTAAAGTGAGCATGATTAAGCACGACGTGTTTCAGTGCGTCTGTGTAGTGTACAGTACCTTGCTGACATCTCGGTGCTGGTAGACTTGAGCAGCTGACTGGCTCATCTGCGTCTGAGAATAGTACTGATTGACAGCATGCATGTAGGAACTGTAGTCTCCATACGAGGAGGTGACCACCACCTGTGACACAAAAAGACACAAAAACACATTTGTTATCATGGCGGGGACTTTCCATTGACTTCTATTGTTTTCCTCCTGAGTTCATGATATTTTCTATCCCCTAACTCAAACTTTTTTTTGTTAGTAGAACCCCTTTGACCTAAAAAGTGCCACATGAGATGTTAATACTTTAATAATAAACACCATGGCTTTCTGATGTCAGTAAATGAGACATCAGGTAATCTTTTAAGATAATTTAAGTAAATGTTTTATTTATTTATATTTTATGATTGAATTCATTATTAGTTTCTCATCAACTCACAGACTCCCTGCAGTTTACTCACAAACTTTCAAGAAGTTTTGCGAACCCAAGTTTAGGAAATCCTGCTTTAAACTTTTTTTTTCATTTTCATAAAGATATTATTTAGAATGCGTATTATGCGGTTTTCCTCAACGAGACAATGTAGACCATTTCAGGGTTGTTGTTTTTTTTTTTTTTGTAGGAAAATAAATTGTAAAATGGGCGCTTTACTATAGTATTGTCCCTTTGGTATGTGTGTTTACCTGAGGTTGCTCTTTTGCGCATTCAGTAACTGCGGCCGTCTCTTGGCTTGTGTTTCCGTAGGTCTGTGCTTGGTAGTGTTGGTACCACTGCTGCATGGCCTCCTGTCACACAGAGACACAGATCAGAATAAAATACAGTCAGACAGCTATAACTGTGATCTATATAGGAATCAAACACGTCTTGACTGTCTTAAAGGAGAACTCCGGCACAAAATGAACCATTGGTCTAATAAAACATTGGTACCTTGTCGACCGTTCTCTGAGATTTGTTTTCATGATAATCGAATGTAAAGAGTTTTATCTCTAAAACTGTTTAGCATATAACTCTAGTATATGGGGGCATAATAAGTAAAAGGAAATCGCTAGTTAATACCACTAACAAGCCTCAAAATAGCCCCACACTAACACAGTAACATAATGAGGGTCCCTGCATGCAAAACAAAGCATTGAGAACTTTGTAAGTGTATAGACCGTTTAATAAGAAGATACTTTATAAAGACAGTTCCCTTCGTGTTTACAGGCAGGAGAAAACAGTCTTGACAAGTCGAACCACGAACGCCGCTCATAGAGTTCAGAAGTCTGCTGAACTTCATACATTTCAGCTCACTTGGCATGTCGTTTGTGGTTCGACTTATCGAGACTGTTTTCTAAAGATGGCGCCGCCTGTATACACGAAGTGGACTGTCTTTATAAAATATCTTCTTATTAAACGGTCTGTACACTTACAAAGTTCTCAATGCTTCGTTTTGCATGTAGGGACCCTCATTATGTTACTCTGTTAGTGTGGGGCTATTTTGAGCCTTGTTAGTGGTATTAACTAGGAATTTTTTTTTACTTATTATATGCCCCCATATACTAGCGTTATACACTAGTATATGGGGGCATATAATATATTATACATTTCCAACAAAATCAGGCCAAAACAAAGTTCATTTCAGGAGTTCGAAACAGCTTCCCAAAGCAAACCTTACAGAGAAGAGAGTTATTTCAAATTATTGCAACTTTTTGGCCCTGAAGTATATGTCGAGAAGCGACACCACAGTCGGCTTTTGTTGCCACTAGTTCTTTGATGTCGGTTTGGTGTTTCTGAGCCTTTACTGACATTTCTCACTGACTTTGGTCGCAACCTCAGATGACATAACCAGTCTATTCACTGACTATACAACAAAATGGCAACAGTTTTCTAACTTTATAGGATTTTTCAGGAGTCCATCAGGCAAAGAATGTGTGCTTAGGTACAGGGTGGCTCCAGTGGTCAGTGTCCAGGGAATTGGGCTACTTTTAAGTTGTTGCCGCAGGTAAAAAAAAAATTCTGCAGGTTGATTTCCACCCTCTTAAGTAAGATTTTGATGCTCTAACACCCCCAATACACCCCCCAGACATACAAATTCAGTTGAGAATTCCAGTGTCTGATGGTGAAAAGCACATTGGGCTATTTTTGGGCTGGAAATCATTTCCACCACCAAAATGGAGTGTTTCTGGGTAAGAAGATTTTGGGGATTCATGGTTCATGGCATTGAATCTTTCAGAAATATTGAGTTTTGTAGGAGAAACTAGAAACGAAAATAGATATCCTCGAGCACCAATGACAGGGGTAGACTGCTTTGCTCCAACTCCAATTAAACAAACCTAAAACAGCTAATTAAGGTATTCAGGATTATTGAAAATAACAGGAAGGTGTGTCGGAGCAGGTGTTGGAACGGAAGTCTGCAGGAGCGTAGCCCTCCAGGATCAGGGTTGGCTTACCCAGCTTTCCATGTAGACAACTTATTTCAAACAACATATTCCTCTCTATTCAGAATAAGCATCAAAGGGGACTGAATAATACACTGCTGAATACACATGTCCATCTACATGACTCTATATGACACTGACTACATTTTATCTCTTTGCATTGCATTGTATCTCCTGAGCTGCTTCCTCTTTTCGTCTTCATCTCATCTCTCCATCTAACCTTAAGCCTAATCCTTTTCGCTAGCTTTCTCTTATACCAATCCCTTAATATATCTTTTCCTTCTCATCTCATTCCCATCACTCCTTTCACCATTCCCATGCTCTCTTTCTCTCTGGACACCTACAGCGTGAAGCTCACTGTCTCATTTCACCAAAGCTGGTGGAGTGTGTGGGAGTGTGCGACCAGATGGGACAGACAACTCGCAGCCAATCTTCCTCTTCCCTCCTGTCTTCCCCCTCTGCATCTCTCACTCCCCCTTCTCTCCCTCCAACTCTCACCCACTCCTTCTCGTATTGTCATAGGAACGCCGGCAGTAATGAGAGGGAGACCCACATTTAAGCCGTTCAATCCTACTAAAATTTCTTCCCCTCCAAACTCTCCACCAGAGAATGAGTAGGGATCACCCCAAAGACACTGGAATGAATCTGAGAGACTGTGGGAGGAATTGGAACTCTTTCTGCTTCCCTCTCATCCTCTCCTGGAGCACATTTTCCTCTCCTCTGTGTCTGCTGAAATCTTTACATTCTGATTTGTAATTCATTTCACAAGTTTTTGACAGAACAGTGCAGTGGCAGGATATCATTGGGTAGAAAGAAGGGCGATGGGAATCAGAACATGACACAGGGTGGATTCGAACCTGCATCTCTGTGAAAGCACCGTGTCCTAACCAGGGGTTTGAGTTTGGCTGGTTAGCTTTGGCCAGTTAGCCAGTAGATGCCGTAACTACACCATGGGTCCTATTTTAACGATCTGAAATGCAAGTATCAAGCGCGAAGCGCAAGTAACTTTGTGGGCGGGTCTTGGGCACTGTTGTTATTTTACCGGCGGGATAAATGACTCTTGTGCCCGACGCAAGTTTAAAAGGGGTTGGTCTGAAATAGCTTCATTATTCATAGGTGTGGTTTGGGCGTAACGTGAAAAAAACAATCAGAGCGTCATCCAACATACCCTTTAAGAGGTGCGCATGTTGCATGGGGGATTGTTGTTATTATTATGGTGAATTTATCAGGCACACACCAGGAGCGTTCACAGCCAAGGAGACCGATGTTCTTGTCAGGGCAGTGAAAGACAGAAGTGACGTTGTATGAGGATGGGAGAAACCCACCCCAAATCAGCGTCGGTTAAACAAGTGTGGGAGTTTACATCTTCATGGACACCACAATGATTTCCTTCATGTGTTAATATTTTCCTTGTTATAATGTATGATTTGGAAACATAAAAACTGCTGCATCTGTGTTGATGAGAGAATCAAAGTCTATGCGCGTTGTGCACCCGTTACATTATGGCCAACCATGCGCGCTTAAAATAGCATTATGAACAACGCGTAACGCACCACTGACTTTAGACCAGTTTTTTTCTGGTCAGTGGCGCAATTGTTTTTTGGAACTGCAAAATAGCACCAAGGAATGTTTACGCCAAAACACGCCTCCTTTTTTGCGCTAACCCGCCCAGGGAGCTCAAGTTCATTCCCTAGTTTACCAACGTACGTCTGTGGAGGGAAAAGCCCGCTTTGGGTGCAAAATAGGAATGATACATGCGTTTGTGTATAAAGTCATTTGCACCGGGTGCAAGACAGAGCCCCATAAGTGTTGTTATTGTTAACAAAAACTTTAACTATTAACAAAACATTCAAAAATAAAATTGAAATAAAGCTGAAATAAATATATTAGAAATGTTGCCTTGGCAACTAACTTAAATTACTAAAACTAATCTTTTGAGGGCTTTTTTTCAGGTACCTATTTGCCGCCTTTCACATTTCTGGAAAGTCAATAGGTGAAGGACTTGTAACAGTGTGCCACGTGGTTCAGATAATCAGCGTTCGACATGATGTCGTCTTTCTAAGTAATTAGTCAAGTGGCATTTATGGCTCAGGCTATTGGCTCTAAAACATATATGCCCAGAACTGAGTGCCCATGAGCGAAGATGGCATTTAAATCCCATAATTCAGGGGTTTTTTGGTGAGCCGAGCCAGTTGCTGACAGTTAGCTTATAACAAACCTCCTCGTTCCAAACTAGGTATGATCTGACAAGTTTCGAGTGAGTAGCAATTTGTCAGTGTAGTAACAGATATTTGAAGTTTAATGTGAAATGGGACTTGGGGCCAATGAGACTTTACTGCAAGAGTTACAGTGCGCACCGAAGCAGAAATAGAAACCAAGCGATAAACAAAAAGCTCAGTTGGGGCAAACAAAAAAATCTGATTTAAATAGAAGGAATCATTTGCCTAGGACACGGTGGTGCACTACAGATCCATTCTGATGGAACTCTTTTTGTTCCGTTTTGAACATTTTTTTTTCTTTATTCCGTATAGACCCATCTATCTCAATTGAACAGCTGGGCATATGGCAGAATTGTTTCCTTTCTCTCGCTCTCTCTGGTTTTTGCTGTCAAATCTGGGGCTCAGTGGAAACCTGTGTTAGAGAGAGGAGTTGTGTGGGATAAATTGGGGGAGAAAAGACTTGAGAGAGTGGGCTAAGAGCGAGACAGATTGATGGTTGCAGTGAACACTGGGATTTCTTCCTTTCTCTGACTGTCAATGTCTGTATTCCACAATTATCAAATACTCTGATCTGATACACAAAAAAAGAAACAGACCAGTGACTGCAACTGTGCCAGTGATGTAATCTAGCTAACAAAAGTATAGCTACTCTAAAGAACGTTCTGCTAATGGGTCAATAAAATGATCAATGCATATTTTGTCCAATTGCATTATTTCCAATAATTTGATAAATTCATGACATATATCCCTTTATTCTATAAAAATGTAAAAATTTTAATTAATTTATAATTATCCCTAATTATCCCTTAAATCCCTAAAATGTAAGGTGGAGCAACGGTCCGCAAAAATGAACATGGACTAAGGCTAAAACAACTATTAAAAATGGTGTTTTAGTAATAAGAATAATTGTATGCTTAAACACTTTCATATAAACACATTTTATTTATTATCAGTAGTTTTAAAGCTTTTGAGTTAATTTGAAAAACATTTGTTTGGCAATTAATGCCAGGTGCAAACTTTTATTATGAATTGACAAGGTAATATGCATCATCCAGAGAACACCAATTGATCCTTTGCTACTTTCAAATATGGGTATTGGTACACTTTACATGTCAGTGGTACAACCAATGTAAAACAAGGAAAATGTTATTTACTATTTATGTTATTTACTATTTATTTACAATAAATAAACTTATTTATTGTATAAAAAAAAAGATATGTATGAACTTACAATTTAGCTAGCACATGCAAAAGCTAATACAGGCATCCAAGTAGTAGCTTGTTCAATGTAAAATGATATTTAAAAGTCAGGTGGCGCAACCAGGAAGTCAGGTGTATTTAACTTACTATGTACTCGCATCAAAATAATTGTTAGGTATGATGTAAACACTTGTGCTGCTATTGAGGTGGGATACCAGTAAGGTTAGGGACACGTTTGATGATATGGTTAGGTTTAAGGGGTAGGGCCAACAGTGTAATTATAGATGTCTTCACTGAAATTATTACAGATATAATATGTAGGGATTTTTTTATATATAATTAGAATGTACTCATTAAGTCCATTGTATCAAATTATTTATTTCAACATTAGTACATGCTAGTTAAAGACACTTAATATAAAGTTGGACTGAGAATTTAGCATGACACAGGGAGCGCATTTAAAATTACCCGACTGTAAGAGAAGCACATCTAGCAAAAAGAAAAGAGAGGTGAGGAACCTTTTTCAGTAGTTTTTAAATTTAGATGAATACATTTTTGATATTTTATTTAAAAATTTTCAACTGACTTAAGCTGATGTTTTTTGTTGTACCTACTGAAAAAACTGACTTTGTGGTAATTTAATCACAATCGATTACAGTGTTTCTAACCAATCCATTGCAATGTAGCCTATTCCAGTGTATTCCGAATGTGATGTCAGGAGATTTTTTCTGTTATTGATCAATTTACCACTTTTACTTTTCACTTTTTGTCATATGCTGATTCATTCTAATATGCTGATTTCTTGCTCAGGAAATATGTTTTGTTATTATCAATAATGAAAACAGTTGTGCTGCTAAAACTATCCAGGGTTCAACAAAAATAGTTGTCAAGATTCTTTAATGAAAAAACAAAACAATATGTGTGCATTTTCACATATGTATTGCAGGTGTTGTAGTTACCTGTGTGTATTGCTGAGCGTACTGTTGAGTGTATTCTGCAGGAGTGGTCTCTGTGCTGTATTGACTGGGTGGGTGGGTGTTAGGCGGCAGGACTGCGCTGTATGTCCCAGTGTGCGCCTGCACAGTCTGAGGTTTACTGTTGCAGGGTGCTAAAGGAGACACAAAAATACTGATGTAAATCATAGCCTGTTCAGGGACACCTATTTAGAACATCTCTCATACAGACAGTCTTTATCTTCTCTGCTGGAGTGGGCTGCAGCCCATCTGGCTGTGGCCTTGAGCAAGGAGAGACAAGACAGCCGTACACTGTAAATATTATAGTTGAAAACAGAGAGCTGACAGAGAAGAGATACATTCCAAGGTCTGGCAGAAGTGAGTCATCTTCAGTGTGTGCTGTTTTGATCGTGCACGTACCTTGTAGTACCACTCCAGGAAGCACACTAGCCAGGTTTAGATACGGGTTGGATGGCAACTTCACTTCTTTAGGAGGGTCTCCCAACAGAGATGTCTGACAACTGGACTGACTCTACAGAAAGAGATTAAAAAAATGTTAGAAGAGCAGGAAAACAATATTCTACAGTTAATTAGATGCTAATCTGGTACATCACCGAGTTGCTCACATATAGATCACACAGTGAGACTGAAATGTCCACTACTTCTCCAAACTTCTCAAATCATACAGATCACATGAAACATCTTTTGCAATATATTTGCTAGATCTATGTGAAACTGACTGTTCAGAAAAAAATAATGCAGAGTGGTAAATTGAATGCAAGTTGATTTTAAGGGAACACGCCGACTTTTTGGGACTTTAGCTTATTCACCGTATCCCCCAGAATTAGATGAGTCCATTCATACCCTTTTCATTTCCGTGCGTGCTGTAACTCTGTCTGACGCACCCACCGCTAGCCTAGCATAGCACAAAGACTGGATGTAAATGGATCCAGCTAGCATACTAATCCCAATAAGAGACAAAATAACGCAACAGAGTGTAAAGTACAGAGTGCAGAGTGTACAAATAACAAGGTCATATGAGACACAGTCATCTTTTAACCATATAAATATTGGGAACTATATTCTCAGAAGGCGAAGTACTGCTACTTGGGCGGAGTGATTACCGCAGCACCTGAGATGCACTGTGGTGAGGAGTAGAGAGTTCGTTCCAGTGTTGTAGTACTCGAGACTCGGACTCGTCTCGGACTCGGTCTCGAGACCATATTTTAATGGTCTTGGTCTTGTCATGGACTCGTGTGCATTTGGACTCGGAATTGACTCGTACTCGAACATTTTTTTTTTTAGGACTCGGACTTATTCCCGAGTCCACTCGAGTTCAATTCAAAATATTTTTCATGATTATTAATGTACGTTAATAAATATTTCTTTAAATTGATTGACATGCCCAGTGATTGGTGATTTTCTAGTGCACACATGCACATGACAAATTGTAAGAAAATTACTTTTAACACCACCTACTATGTGGCCTTTTTACCCTAAACTGATCATATTTTTTAAACTCTGGTCTCGGTCTCGACTCGGACTCGACTCTTTATGGACTCGGTCTTGACTCGGACTCGACTCTCTCTGGTCTCGGTCTCGACTCGGACTCGAGTGAGGTGGTCTCGACTACAACACTGGTTCGTTCAGAGTTGGAGTAATAGAGTCAGTAGTTACTAGATAGTAAAAGCATAGTTTACAATCATGGGTGTTCGCTGTATTGTAAAAAGCTGTGACGATAAACACGGGAGACCAGGTAATACCAATGATGTTTCAACAGCATGTAAATAGAAAAATGTTTGCATTATTTTGTCACTTATTGGGATTAGTATGCTAGCTGGAGCCATTTACATCCAGTCTTTGTGCTAAGCTAGGCTAGCAGTGGGTGTGTCAGACAAAGTTACAGTACATACGGAGATGAAAAAGGTATGTATGGACTTATCTAACTTTGGGGGTTACTGTGAATATGCTAAAGTCCCAAAAATTCTCAGTGTTCCTTTAAAGGACAGGTATTTGTGAAAAGTGAGCTTTTATTGGTTATCAATTATAATATTATGTAAGCAATAAGGTACAAGAGGCTGTGACTACAGTATATTCACAATACAACACAATCTCTCTTGCAGAGAGACTCCGTCCACACGCTCTTCTGATTAGGAGTGATTTTTGATTGATTTTAACTCGTGTCGTATCGCGTCTGGTGTGGACAGACAAATTTCTTGTTGCTGGAGTTCTGGTTAGGATATGGTGTGATATTAAGTAAACATGGCTAATGACCAATCAGCATCAAGGACCAGAACTATCCATTTTAAAATGTATCAGCTATTGTACAATGTATTAAAATATATACTATTATATATGTTATTGATAAATAGATATATACAATATGGATGTCATGTAAGGAAAATTCTCTATCTAAACATCTCCATTTTTCTCCACAGAAGATATTCCTTTAAAAATCTTTGCTTTTTCTTTCACAGATTTCACAAATAAACAGCAATGCAAGAGAAGGAATGAAATGGAAAAGTACTGGCAGAGAGTCTGGTATTCATCTCTAATCCAGTCACATAGAAGACAGAGCTCTCCATTAGCCTGTGTAGAGTAATGCACGAGTAATCAGAGCCTGCAGCACTAGTGGTCTGTCATTAGGGCTCAGAACTCTGTCAGAGTCTGTTCTGAGCTCTACAAGGTGGCTGAGTGCTTGCGTCTGAATAAAGACACCTCCAGACAGAACAATGAAAATCTTGGAGTTCGAGGAGGTCGACAGAAGCACTTGAGACAGAATCACAAGTACGGTATAAGCGAGTCGAGTGTGTGCTTGTACTGAGTGTTCAAAGTGTAAAAGTGTACCCCCTTAGATGTTGTGTGTATATATACTGTAAAATACTTAGAATAATTATAAATATAGAATCTTTTCTAACAAATGCAGAAGTCTTTAGTTTTGATCCATTGCATGTTTCCTTTTTGAATCAAATTATGAATTTTGTATATAATTAACTATAAATTAAATGTAAATTATAAATATTTCGCCACTGTTAGGCGGAAATCTCCATATTTTTTTCATTATTCATTACTATTGATCACTCTGGGTTTTGCAAATATTTAACTAATGAAAAGTATTAAAAAGAGCATGTGACTAAACCTTGTATCTCCATTGGATACGGTTTTTGAACAACACAAAAATGTGAGTAAATTAAGACAAAATTTTAAAGTCTGAGGGCCAGATGTACGTACATTTGCGAACAAAGCGCTAATAGCGTAATGGCCAAGACACAGAAAGCGCTTGATGTGAAACCGCAGTGTTGGTGTTATGTACCAAACCTGCAGTTCATCAGGTAATCAGCGCCTGTCCCCACCCACTATACCGTAAATTGCGTTCGTCAAGTACTTGCACTATGATACGGCAGAGTCCAGACTGCAATATTCCCACTGCTGATGCTATGACCGTTTGAAATGATCCTGATGCCAATAGTTGTGATGTAGTGAGGAGTTTCACAACTGCTGGAATATAATGTGAACACTGAGTCGGAGCTTCAATGTCATCTTTGATTTCTTCCAGTAACTGTAATATTGCGTAGCTGCTTAATCTGTAAAGTTTAATGATTTTGTTTTCACTCAACTGAAAAAGTGATTCTTGTGGCAAAAATCTTTTCAGCTCGTCTACTTAGCCTATGTCTTCGTCTTGCTCGAATTACTGCTGCCATTTTACCAGGAGGCATATGCCAGGAAACCCGCTTCCTAAATTGACCCTTCGCTAAGCCCCGCCCTCCCTAGTTACTGTTGCTACGCCTGTCAAACTTTCTCGGCTGGCCCATCTATTATAGTGTGGATGCACCCGGTATCAGACATTTCAATGAGATAATTCGTAATTTTCGGCGAACAAGTGAAATATCTGAGAGAGCAAGACAAAAGGAACTACAGTATGCATTCGAGGGATATATTCACGACATTTTATGCAACCGATAAGAGAATAATTTCTTAAAAATTGAAGTTAAAGCCTAACGTTATAGTCCCAGCGCAAGCAGCAGCGCCTCATACACTGACCGTTCAAATGGGAAACACAAATTGAGGAACAGCTATGCTCATACACAACAGGGTATGTGAAAATAATCTTAATAAGTATAAATCAAACAGCTTATCAATAAATCTTGTGGAATAACACTAATACCGGGAGAGCCGCGATCGGATTGGGTTAACTTACTTTGTAGGCTAAGGGGTAACGTTAGTAGGACGTCGATTAACAAAATGCTGAAATATACAGTATTTTAAAGTATGTCATTGAGCCTTTGTCTTGTCTCTTTAATCGTCTTATTTTACGTTATCATTATGACCAAAGAACCGCCACTATTTCCAAGCAATAGGTGTTTTTGTTAAGCATGTTGACATTTACCAGTAGTTGTGAATGGGTCTCGCACATAGACACTAGATCACGCCAATCATTTTTCCCCTTGGCTTTTAGATTTTCTGGAAGGAAAACAATTCCTCTCCCCCGTCCAAACTTTTAGTATACCGGTATCAGATGTGCACAATCCATACGCACAATGCTTCAGCATGTCTCCCTCTTTCGAAAGCTTGCCAGACCTCCCGCGTATAGTTACGGTTGCTAAGACATGATTGGCCAGTGGCGGTTTTCGGGCGTGGCTTAGCGAAGGGTCAATTACACCTGCTTTTAAAGGTGGGGTATGTGATTTTCCTTTTTGACCATTTTTTCAAAATCACAGCCACAATCAAGAGGCGGAGAATTCGCTTTTTTACGCTTCCCCTCCCGTTTCTTTATGTGACACTCCCACTTTCCCCTTGACCATCCCATTAATGGATATGCATGGCACAAAAAGTGCATTTTGCCATTTTCAGTTCCTGCGACAGGCAGTCTTTCATCTCTGCGTCCCATTCGTACATACCTCACCATGGTTTTATGCGCACTTTGCGAAACCAATACGTCTGAAGTGGGCGCAAAAGCGTTAGTACATGTGACCCTGAGTGAATTATTAGTCCGCACACCAGAAGATGCTCCTAAGAAAATGTAATGGTTGCTCACCACGTGTACATGTAGACATGCAGACAACGATGTCTGATGAAGGGCTTGGGCCCGAAACGTTACATGTACACGTGGTGAGCAACCATTCAATTTTCTTAGGCCGTGTGTCCACCTAGACGCTCCGCTGAAGACGGCGTGCTTTGGGCGCTTGAGAGCGTTTTGGCAACGCAGCGTTTTTTCCGTTGAGGCGTTTCGTTGCTATGATACAGAATATCCGCAGCAGTTGAATGTTGTGACAGTTGGTCGGTGTGGTATTAGTCCCGCCCCTCCTCCACTGTGATTGGATGGCTGGGTAAAAAGAAACAGTGATGAGCGCTGCGTTTTATCCAAAGTTGAACATTTTTCAACTCCCAGCGACCAGTAAAAACGCCGGGCGCTCGGCGCTTCAGCGTGAAAAAAACGCTCAGCGCCTCGGTACGCTCGTGGCGTTTAAAAAACACGGCGTTCCCATTGAAAACAATTGAAAACATACGCCAGGCGCGTGGAAAAACGCTTTGGTGGACACACGGCCTTAGGAGCATCTTCTGGTGTGCAGACTTATTGGTTACTTTTGTTGCTACCTTACTGCCCAGCACCCAGTTTTATTGTTTTTGGATGTGCGTGCTACACCTTTTGAACCCTGAGTGAATTATTCTCATTAAGTCTCATTAAGATTTTGTCATTTTTTGTCTTGAGGTGAGAAACTGGAGAGGCAGAAAGCAACCAAGCTCACCGTGACGGCAGTACTAGTCTGCACACTTAAACTGTGGTGGTTGGCTGGAGCTTTGTGCGTTGTGCTCCCCAGCAAAGGTGTGTTAATCCCAGAGAGGAAGTTGTGGAGTTGTGTTTGGGAGCTTAAAGATCCCCCTGCGGTTCCTGGTGGTGCAGGTTGTTTCTCCGGAGCCAGGCATGTTGCAGTGACTCCGTTCTGTTCAGAGACGGAACTCGCATGTGAACGCCCAGGTATATGTGACACCATTCCAGCCCCAGAGTTTCCACCCTGGGATGTGACTGGAGAGGAGTCTTGGCCCAACTCTAAAAACCAGAGAACCTTGTTAAACTTTTGCACCCAATGCATACAGTTCATACTCTGGAAAACATTCATAGTTTAGAATTTCAATTTATCTCTCACTGTAACACCTGCATGGCACTGATATTCAAATAGAAATGACCCTGCACAAAGACATACTCTTCAAACGTGTTTAAAGCTTTGATGAATGCCTTTGCATACACAAACAGACACACGTCTGTATAAAAGCACAAAGAACTACTAATTGAAGTGGCTGCCTTGCACTGCTAATAGTGGGGCTTTCAAACTGTTTGAGGATTTGCAATGCAAATGTCTTTCACTGCAGTAGCGAATGAGACCTCTGGACCAGGCTTGAGGTCTGCAAGGTTGACTAGTAGCTCTCACCTGTGGGAGAATCTCCCAGCAACCCCTTCCCCAGAGGAACTTGTGTTCGAAGACCCAGAACTTTCTGCAAGAGCAGCCGAGATGGGTCACCTAAAAGACCCTGGACCTGGTAGGAAATGAGAGAGAGATCGATGAAGGAGGAAAACAAAAACAGTCAGGCCATATGACAAGCAAGTGAAACACAAATGAGATTATTATGGCTACAAAAATGCACATTCCAAGACAAAACACACATGCATTAAAGGAGATTTCTGTCAGCATTATTATTGCGCTATTTTTTAAAATACTTTTTTCAGCACAGATGGCTTTATTATTTTTTTTTACCAGAACCTCAAATTTGCATTAGAAATGCCAGCTGGATGTATGGTTCTAATACTTCTCTATATAAATAAATATAAATAATGCCTTTCTGAACAAAAACTGCAGTTTTCTCATTATTTACAAAAGGATTTAATGCAAACCAATAATATCCTTGCAAAAAGACACAATTTAGACTGCTGTTGTAACATGCATTATTTTTCTGGTAAGTGTACTGTGGTGATATATTTCTTTTGTTATGGGCATTGAAACACGTGAACACACACACACACACCGACACTCACATTAGTGATTTGCTTGTCTTTGATCTGTAAAAGCTGTTGTTGGGCCATCTGCATGTGAAGAAGATTCTGCAGAACAAGACCGTTTCCAAGAATGGCAGACTGCATGAAAGAAAAAGAGAAACATAGATTGCTATACATTCTTTTCTATCTATCAGTGAAGTAGCTGCCTATTCATCATAACATATTTCCCTCTAAGGTGTTATTCTTAGCTGTACTATAACATTTTTATCAATGATCGGCAACTGTATTTCTTTAAGGTTATTTCTTTAACTATGAGCACCTTTGTTTTGTGGACTTTTTGAAATAAATCTCCCTTAAAATAAACCTTTCAAACTCTCACTAGTTTAGACAATCTACATACAATGTCCAACAGTACAGTAGATATGCACGCATTACAGCAGAATCCTGTCATTTTGACATTTTCCTCCCTCCCTGAACCATCATGAACTAATGTCATTTCAGCCATACTACTATTCAATTCAATTTATAAAAAAAAATTGTATTCTATATAAACAATTTTTAAAATATTCTATTCACAGGTGACATTTACCATATAGCTAATTTTAAGCATTCACTTCACCCATTCTCTTGTTAAATTAATACATTAACTTTTCAAAACAACTTTTACAACTACCACAATAAACAAAATTGCGGTGGAAGGAAGGACTCCACTCAAGGAACTCAAGGACAGTCATATTTAACAAATAAATAAATAATTATTAATTATTAATAATAATACATAATACTTTATTTTCAAAAAATATATACTGAAATGATTTATTTGTATTACATTATTTGTTTAGGTTATTATAGACCTAAGAAAGTAATAATTTTTTTTTCTAATTTTGTATTTTTACAGTTTAAGTCTGAAATGGTATATATATATATATATATATATATATATATATATAATAAAGCATTTGGAAAGTAGCACAAGTAAATGATGAATGCATTATAAAAGTTTCCAAAAAGAAAGAAGTTAAAAAATGTTTAGTTTGAATAAAATCCAACCCTTAAATATACAACATAAGAGCCTAAAGTTAAAGAAACACCCTATCAGCATTAAGTCAGTGTTGTGGGTGAAAGAGAAAGCATGTACCTGCTGTGCTTTTCCTAACTGTAGCAACGCGGCAGTCAGAGGTGGACGCAGGAAGGGGATATTGTGTGGTCGCCCAAACTTTCCTGGTGGGAAACCATTAGATAAACCCAATGAGTGGGACAAATAAGAGAGGAAATCATGTGAAAAGAGCTTGCAAGCTCTCAAAATAAGAGAGATGGACAGCAGAAAGTATGTGGTCGATACTGGCAGCCTTTGATTTGGTAATTCCAAAAATCCAGCTTCAGTACTAATGGCAAGTTGCTCCGGAATAGGTAGAGAAGTTTAACATTTAATCATGTGCTATATTTAGTGTAGTAATTGTGTGTTCTCTATAAGCTCCGGCCTCCACTTCTTCCTCAGCTCATTTATTCTCCCACCCAATGAAAAGTTCATTTTAATATATGATTAGGCTTTCATCAAGGGGAGAAATCTGCTCAGAATCTACAGCATGGTGATCACTGTTACACACACACACACACCCACACCCACACATATGCAGAGACATGAGAGATATTTCATCTCAAAAACTACAATCCTCACAGGAAACATTTTTGGCTCTGTCTGAAAAAGTACTTAAACATTTTACTCATGAATATTCAATAAATTATTTGGCTAATAATAAGTAAAGAGCCATTTAAGAGAGACAGTGAGAGAGAGAGAGAGAGAGAGAGAGAGAGAGAGAGAGAGAGAGAGAGAGAGAGAGAGAGAGAGAGAGAGAGAGAGAGAGAGAGAGAGAGAGCGAGCGAGAGAGAGAGAGAGAGAGAGAGAGAGAGAGAGAGAGAGAGAGAGAGAGAGAGAGAGAGAGAGAGAGAGAGAGAGAGAGTTACCTCCTCGTTTGGCGTTGGGGTAGGGTCTCATAAGGACTTGGAGAGCAGCAGGATTGGTCATACTGTTGAGGAACTGGGCCAGATTGGGTTCAGGCAGTAAACCTTTCTTATTGCTCAACATCTACAGTAGCACACACATATAACAAAGATAAAACAACAATTTATTATTTTATTATAAATAAAAAAGCATATCCAAGCAATTATTATTGTTAACAGATTGTCAAATAATTTTAAGTAAGAAATGTATCTTCAGTTAAAGGATATATTTTCTTCTGTGGGAAACAAAGGTATTTTTTTTAAGAATATGCAGGCCAATTTATTTTACATAAAAAAGTGGACGCTCCAAAAACAAAACAAAACAAAAACTAAATAAATAAACGCCTGCACCATAAAAAGTTCCATACAACTTCTGCATTATATCTTCAGGATGTTTAGAATATACAAAACTGAATAACCGTGTAAAGCCTGACATAAAAAAAATTGTCAAACAAATATATATGTTTTTAAATGGAACAGTTTATCGAACCTTTAGACAAAATATGTTAAATGAAAACGGAAGAAATAAAGAATCGTATTGAGAATCATATCTGATACATCAGGCAATATAGAGCTACAGTACAAAAACACCTGTTTTATTCAGAGTCTTAATTTGAGCAAATTTGATGCAGTTGCTTAGCCTGGAAAAACCCAGACAACTTCCAGCTAATTTAGCTCTGAAAGTTAGTCTGGCAAACAGCTCATTCAAGCCCATTTCCAATCCGTCAAAATCGAAGCACTAATCAGAAATGTTGGGGTGGGCTTTACACGATGACGACAGCACTGGGATTTTGAAGGCTAGATTACAATGGATGTCATCATCGAACATTACTCGTTTGAATCAGCTACTCTTTAAAGCGATTTGAATGTTTCCTTTTTGTTAAAAACCGAGCAAAGAACAACACTCGCTCTGCATACAGTATGTCATCTCCTTCATCGCTCAGATTGGTTTTAGGTTTATCCGCAACGTCCTTCTGGAAATGATTTTAACCAGGCTAGCAGTTGCTCATATTTATATGTATTTATATTTATTAAATATTTTATAAAAATATTTTATTAAACATATTTATATTTATATATATTTATATTTATAAGATTCAATTCTCATAGATTGTAATGTAAATCAGAGAGATCTTCATAAGAGTATAGAAACTTCACATAAAATGTATTTAAAAATCAGTTGTCACTAAATATTCCCCAAAAATCTTAGTAAGATGATATTTAAATGCTTACTTATGATCAAAGCTCTCTAGTTTTTATTTTGGGGAGCAAAACATACAGTATAGTGCAATGCAATGATGGTTGGGAGATAAAAAATAACATTTCCCAGAAGCTCCACATTTTAAAATGTTTTTTTTTTTTTTTAAGTTGCTTCAGTCCAGTGAATGTTCATTTTGCAATATTATTGACAATATAAGTTTATACTTACTTTAGAAAAATCAGTAAAGTTTTCACAGCAAAAAGATACATGACCTGTAGAGCATATAATTACAGTATACTAAAAGGCCTTTTACTTTGTAAAAAAGTAGTAAACCTATCAATCAGACGACAAAAGGCATAGCAGATTGTGTAAAACAGGTTTTTCTGATCACTTCTAGAGGTTTTAGAAATGTACCAAATAATATGCGTATCAAATATGGTTCAGTAGGTTTTATAGGGTTAAGATGTTTTTCTTTTTTTTAGTTTTAATTTTTTAGTTTCCTTTTCATATTTGATGTCTTGTCAAATGTTTATCTGGAATGTTTATGTCCCAGCGGTGAGTGAGCATGTGTGACCGTGAGTATTTGCTGGCATGGGGGAGACGCTTGCAGACATGCGGAACCCCTGATTAGATCTCTGATGTCTGCTAGAGGTGTGGATCCATCCCAACACACTCCAACTCCATCTGCTGACTACTACTCCCCCACCCACACAAACTTGTGCACACACACACACACACACACCGCGGTGCTTTCATACTGGAATGCATGAAGCCAAAGATGCAACAACATATTCAAGTATGAGAGGACATCTACGTAATAATTTAAGAATCAGGGGAATGTGGTGGTGGTGGTAGTGGCCTTGGGTGAAGAAGCAGATGGGTGGAGTATTTGGGAAGAGGGAATAAAGAGACAGTTGGCCTATCTCTTTATAAGGATGACAAAAGCAGGGCCATATCCCATCATGCCCCCTGCCTAGAGCTTCAGATATGGATTAGCAGAACACTAGAGCTCAAATGCTCTATTTTCCACACCATTGAATCCATAAACACTGAAACAAAAACATCAGGTGGTTTATACTAATCTAAAGTTTTCTCAAATTTGACTTCTTAAATAGCCGACAGTATAGATATAAAAATAAAGCAAATATTATGAAATAAGAGATCAGATAAAGTGTATGAAGCACTGATTCTCCCACAATCAGCACATTTTAGAGGAGAGGTATAATACAAAGTAATATAAAAGAATTAGGAATGCACGTTTCGATACCAAAACTGGCATGACACATTTGTGGATTAAAACTAAATTGTGCGAGTAAGTAGTTCCCTACATCATTACAGCATAATGTCAAGTGATAACTTTACCGCTGCACTGGAAAAGCTCTACATGTGCATTCTGCCATCAAACGAAAGATAAAATAGGAGATAATGATAATAATAACTAATATGAAAAATCACATTTTAACAGACATAATTATGCATGAAAATGACTATGATGCCAAGTAATATATACAGTGGGGGAAATAATGATTTGATCCCCTGCTGGTTTTGTAAGTTCGCCTACTTACAAAGAAATTAAGGGTCTATAATTTTTATGGTAGGTTTATTTTAACAGATAGAATCAGAATATCAACCCATTATACAAAGGTTGTAAGTTGATTAGCATTTGATCGAAAGAAATAAGTATTTGATCCCCAACCAACCAGCAAGAATTCTGCATCCCACAGATTGGTTGTGTGCCTATGTGGAACACAGACTAGTAGTCTTGTCACTTTAAGAGAGTACTCCTAATGTCACCAGTCCACAGAATCTGTATCTTCCATTCCATCCTCGCCACCACCATGGGCAAAACGAAAGAGCTGTCAAAGGACATCAGGGACAAGATTGGAGACCTGCACAAGCCTGAAATGGGCTACAAGAAAATATGGCTATGGGCTACAGAAATGGAAGAAGTACAAAAAAAAAAACATCAATCGCCCTCGGTCTGTATCTCCATGCAAGATCTTGCCTCATGAGGTAAGGATGATCATGAGAAATGTGAGGGATCAGCCCAGAACTAGAAGCTTGTTAATGATCTCAAGGCAGTTGGGACCACAGTCACCAAGCAAACAACTGGTAACAGACTACATGTACACCGCAATAGATTGAAATCGAAAAGCCCGGAAGGTCCCCCTGCTCAAGGCGGCACATGTTCAAGCCCGTCTGAAGTTTGCCAATGAACATGTAATGATTCAGAGAAGGCTTGATGTGTGTGATTTTTCTTTATATCTACCTATATATCTACCTGTTGATCCACTCGTGATCGAGTAGTTATGCTGCAAAGTACTTAAATTCTCACTAATTACTTAAATTAATTAAAGTCTAATAGTCTAGTTAAAGTCCCTAACAAAAAACTCAATTTCAATTCACGCTCTTATGACAATAACTGAGGCATTGAACAAAGGAGTCATTGAACATGACTGAAATATAACCAGTAGGCATGTATCTTTCGACGGTTTTGCGTATGAGCTCCCGGAGCACTAACCAGTCAGGAAGACAAGTGCAGACACCTGCTAGTCCCCAAGCAAGTGCTAAAATTATATGACTACACTCACACACAAAACCAATGGCCCGTCAGACTGAAGGGAAAGCTTGTGCCCTCAGAGTCTGTGTATGAGTGGGTAGGCGGGTCTCAGAGACAGACAGAGTACAGAGACGACTGTGGCTCGGATGGGTGGACTTCTTGAGAAATGTCAGCTTGCATTTGCTCTATTTGGCTTGATATTTTTCAGAGGAAAAAGGAGAAGTAAGGGAGAGAGAAAGAGTGGAGGAGAAAGAGAAAGGATGGAGGAGGGGACAAAAAGCATTGCATTAAAGACCCCATGAAATCAAAATAGCAGTTTGTGGCTTTCGGTTCATGTGTGTTAGCTTTGAAGTCATCTGTATACTTTTATGCTCCTAAAGGTTGTTAAAATTGCCCAAAAAATTGGAATTCGTATATATTTCAATTCTTCAGTGGAAGAATAGACCAAAAATATTGACTTGCACACAAGAGCGTAATACAAAATGTTGTACAATAAAAATGATCTAGTATGAAAAAGGCTTTTATAGCTATTTTTCAAAAAGGAAGGATAAGATTTTTGAAATGTACTACTACATTTTTCCTGTTTCATTAGGACATGTCCAACATAATAACGTGTATACACAAATTGTTTTCATAAAATAATTTCATTGGGTCTTTACACATATTCCATTATTAAAATATAACCAAAAATCCTCTTCTTTATCTTCTCTGCATTTCTCCTCTGCTCTTGCTTGTTTCCTAATCTAGCTTTCTAATTTATGTGGCATTGTATATGGAGAATCTGTGACTAATTGCTTATGCTCCTCTGCTGAAAGTCACTTTGGATAAAAGCTTCTGTATAAATGTAAAATCTAAAAAGATAACGGTAGTTTTTATTGTCCACTAGAAGTGAAAATCTGAACAATGAAATCAATCAATGTCCGGAAGTAGCAAACTGCTCTGCCAACAATATACTGAATTCTGCAGAAATAAGTCCCACATTCAAAATGAAAAGTTACATTTGAAATGCCAGACAAAAAAATCTACGCTCTAAAAAAACATCAATGAGAACCAATATCTGAGACATGAAGGAACATGACAGAGTGATTTTGTGTGTGTAGGCTGGACTGTTCTCAGTCTTGATAAAAGACAGTCAAATGTGGTCTGTGAATAAGCTTGTCACATAGACAGCACAAAAAAGATGCTAAATACAAATAATAAAATGCAAACAACCATATATATATATAGCTTGTGTTGCATATAAACTTTTTTAAGGGTTTTTAATTTTTTTATTTATTTAATAATTTTAAAGAAATTAATAGTATTATTCATTAGACACATTAAAGTGCCAGCAAATACTTTTCCATTATTATATAAACAACTAAATATATGCTGTTGTTTTGAAGTTTTTCTTGAAAAAAAAAAAAATCGAATCAAACACAAACTTTTGAATGCTAGTGAATATATTAAATGTTTTTTAATCAAATATTGTATAATACATGATTATATATAAAAATATATATATAATGATAATCTTTTTAAGACTTTATTAAGAACACGGGAGGAATTTAGAGTTCAAGATGAATCTTTTTATCGTGAACAGAAAGCTAAATACTGTATGCTTATTTTTTTGCTTGCTTTCCTTTTATCTTACTTGAGGGTTATACAAATGTAAACCAGACTGCATTAAATAGATATTCACCAGCAGCATAAAAATAAACATGGATTGTGTCTACCACAATGTGTATTATGTAGTGAATTATTAGGTGCTGAGAGCAAGGAACCAACAAAATGAAAGATAAGTTTAGAAAACACACTCCAACTATAATTGTCCTGAAGCAAAACCATTGTGTTGAAGAACATCAGTTAACGCTCAACACCACTGACAGTATCTTAAGGACAGCGTTGTTTTAGACAGACTGCTGGTTTACGTGGATGTCCAGCATGATGAAAATAGCCCTGTGGTTTATTTCAGGCCTCGGAAATGCACCGGAGGTCTGGAGATGTCTGAAACAGCAGGGTTTGTATGAATACTGTAATTAAACTGTCACCACTGCTGTTTCACACATGCATGGGTGTGCGTTAATGCTTCTGCATGAACGAAATGCTCTCGTTGCTTGCTGTGGCGGTAAAGACAATGGCACTTGTCCCCTGTGATTGTGTGCGTCACTCACCACACCCTGAGCAGCGATGAGGGCGGCGAGAGTGCTGCGTCCAGAGGTTCCTGGGGGACAGAGAGACAGGCGTATCTCCTGACCCTGGATCAGCTGTCTGTCCATCTCCAGCAGCATGGCTTCAGCCTGCTCTGCCGTCTCGTACTCCACAACAGCAAAACCCCGCACTGGACTTCCCTCATCCTGAGCCAACTACAACACACACACAAACACACACACACACACAGTGTTTAGAGATCAACAAATCTTGCCAAAGGCATGGGATTTTAGTACATCATTACAATCCAATTTTATAATCATCTCTCAGTTCTCGCGATGCATGATTATTTGATGAAACCATAAAATTAACAATTTCATTCAAATTTTCATTCAAATTCTCATCTGGAAGCAAAATGTATCGGCAGACATGAGATGTCAGCTCTTCTGGGTTGTGCAGAGCCTTAAGGAACCAACTGATTTGTGACTTTTGGTGTTGATTTGTGAGCTGCCTGCAGCTAAAAGATGTGGTTAATGATTGTGACATGTGACATGAGAAATAAAACCCCACGCACACTAAGCACTACTTTGATATTAGAATGGAAATTGCATTTTAATTATTGAGTATTTTTGTGGCAAACTTGAACTTGTCTGTTTATTGATACTGCAGGGTTCAAATATCTGGTATCACAAATTATATACAGTATATATATATATATATATATATATTAGGGCTGTCAGTTAAACACTTTATTAAAGGTGTTAAAGGAACACTCCGACTTTTTGGGACTTTAGCCTATTCACCTTACCCCCCAGAGTTAGATAAGTCCATACATACCTTTTTCATCTCCGTGCGTGCTATAAGTCTGTTTGACGCACCCACCGCTAGCCTAGCTTAGCACAAAGACTCGATGTGACTGGTTGCAGCTTTCATACTGATCCAAATAAGTGGCAAAATAACGCAAACGTTTTCCTATTTACATGTTGTGATTTGTATAGTCACATAATGTACAAATAACAAAGTCAAATGAGACACAGACATCTTTTAACCGTATAAAACCTGGGAACTATTCTCTGAAGGCGAAGCACTGCTACTTTGACGGAGTAATAACCGCATCACCTGAGACACGCCGTGGTGAGGAGCGGAGAGTTCGCTCGGTGTTTGGGTAATAGAGTCAGCAATTTATAAATAGTAAAAGCGTAGTTTAGAGTCATGGGTTTTCGCTCTATTTTAAATAGCTGCGACTGTAAACAGGGGAGGTAATACCATGTTTCACAGAATTCCAACTAAAAACGCTGACTGGATGAAGAAATGGCTAACTTACTCTGGATATTTATCCAAACACACCTAAGATTATCAAGGGACATTATGTTTGCTCGTACATTTCAATGAGGACGACTATTTTGAAAAAATGGAATTTGCCACACGGACCATAATGTGCTGAAGGATACGGCCATCCCATCGATAGCACAGACAGGACAAGTGGAGCACCTGCGGCTGAGGTAAGTGTTCCGTTATGTTTTTAGATGACCTACTGTAACAGTGCCATTATTAGCCAGATCTAATGTAACGTTAGTGACACTATTATATGATTAGGGTATGAATGTGTTTTTATCTTGATGCGGTGCGGACGCGCTTGGGAAAAAAACGAGCGCGTTCACCGCGTTGAACTTGCACCCTGCGCGCGGCGCGCCTAGTAGCCTAAATTTGAAATAACCATGGAAAAAAACAAACTTGAGCGTGCAAAAGGGTACGATAGGCTGTGAGTTCATTGTGCAAAAACAATTTGTGCTATTACACCCCTTATTCTATCCTATAGTAATGCAATACTGTATATATAGGCTACTGTTGAATACATTTGGTTCAGCTAATAAATTGCATTTAAAATATATTGATTCTGTAATAATAATTATTTATTCATGTGATATTTATAAATCTGGGTGCGTTTTTGGTTTGGAAATCAATGAAACATGGTACTGTATTACCTGGTCTCCCCTGTTTATTGTCACAGCTCATACAATAAAGCAAACACCATGATAAACTATGCTTTTCTATCTAACGTTAGTAATTGCTGACTCTTTATCCAACGCTGAGCGAAGCGAACTAGGCTCTTCGTCACGGTGCGTCTCAGGTGATTGTTATCACTCTGCCCAAGTAGCAGTGCTTCCCTTCAGAAATATAGTATTTATACGGTCAAAAGATGTCTGTGTCTCATATGGCCTTGATATTTGCACACTCTGTGACTATACAAACCACAAACATGTAAATAGGAAAACGTTTGCGTTATTTTGTCACTCATTTGGATTAGTATGAAAGCTGCAACCATTCACATCCAGTCTTTGTGCTAAGCTAGGCTAGCGGTGGGTGCGTCAAACAGACTTATAGCACGCACGGAGATGAAAAAGGTATGTATGGACTTATCTAACTCTGGGGGGTAAGGTGAATAGGCTAAAGTCCCAAAAAGTCGGAGTGTTCCTTTAAAGCAAACCCATTTTAACGGCGTCAATGTTTTTATCGCAAGATTAACAGCCTTTTTGGCCTAGCAAACTTTGTAGTTTTTTTCACATGCTTTTGCAACAGGACGCGGCATGAGTGAGGCTGCACTATGAAACCCATTCATTTCAATGCCTTGTGCCGCGCAAGGACGTTTTGTTGCTTCGTCGACCAAAGCGCAAGTGGATCTAGCTATAGACTGGAAACAAAACAACAGGCACGCCGCCTCACACACTTGTTTAGGCTTGCGAGACGGCCAAATAGTTGGTTAACGTTACATTTTGAGTGGATGACGAGCGCGAGACGCCGAAATGGATGCCAATAAGATTCTGAATGGAAAGTTTACTTTTAAAAGTTGCCAAATTCCACTGACAAGACCAAAGTGATCAGTGTGTTTTGTCATTGTGAACTGAGCTATTATCATCGCAGTATGTCTGGTCTGAAATACCTCTTGATGATGGCCAAGCACATACACACACACACACACATCTGACCTTGTCAGTATTTCTTTCACCCTTTTATTGATGGACAGTGTTAGAATTGTGTGAAAGATTATTTGCTCCGAGTGAGAAGGTTAGTGTGAAATTGAACACAGTATATACCAATGTTGTTTTCAATAAGAAAATATTTGCACAAAGCAAGCCGATCCACTTTTACATGTTGATAAGAGCATTAAAATGAGAAAAAATAATGGGACAAAAAGAAATCAAGAGACATTTAGAGCAATTAAAATGTGCGATTAATAGCGAGTTCACCATGACATTAATGCGATTAATCTCGATTAAATATTTTAATCATTTGACAGCACTAATATAAAATTATATTATTAGTTATATTATTAATTTTATTATATTATTAATATATAATTATATTATGTTTTAATATATATATATATATATATATACATAGCATGTTATTATTATAGTATTATCTGTTCAAAGGATTTCAAATTTGCTTATTTGATTAGTGACCTAGAAATGCAGTAGAATATCTCATTCACATTTTATATACTATAATTAAAATATAATTACTATACTAACTGTAAAAAGTGTGTAAATCAAGCAGCATATTACTGACATCTTTGCTGAGCCAGTGAGAAAAGTTGCATAGTTGTGGGTTAATCAAAAACAGAAATGACAACATTTTATACTTTCAATAATGCAGCCTGTCTGTGGGAGAATGTGCTGTGTTCAAGCAGGCAAGTCAACTCCTTTTTTTATAGTTTTTTTTTTTTTTCCATGACACTGGATGGGGTGAAAACAAGTCTGGGTTTGGACTTATCAAAATAAGTCTGCTGCTGCCTTTAAAAAAATACTATGAATGATATGTTAAATATAAATAGAATAACCTTTATCACTTACAACATCTCTAACATGCAACGCCACCAAAAAGTAGATGCATGATTTCCATCGCATTAGATAACAAAATATTTGGGACCAATGTACCCAGTAAAGCAATTTTTGCAATTAAAAGACGTATAATAATAGCGGTCCAAACACAGCCCTGATATGCTCAAATTTGGCCAGTCAGTGAAAATTTAATAGTCTAACTATAAACCATAGCCCAAGAATAGACTAGTCATTAATTACAAAGCATGTCAATGTTTAAAGAACGTATCTATCTAAAATATAAACACACAAGCAGATATATATGTTTAAAAAATTAATTTCTATCACAGAAATTAAACCAAACATCTTCACTGTTGACTTTGCTTACATGATGGAATATCATACGTCTCTTAAGTTGGCAAAAACGACATGTAACCAAATTCAAGGTTATTTTGGCTAGAAGAGGGTCACTCATAGGGTCACAGGACAATATGGGGTCTATAGTTAACCTAGACGGTGAAATGAAGGCTATCGCTTGCTGACACACATTAAATCAAATAGCAAGCAAGAGTATTTAAAGATAAAGTGATTCATCATAAAAACTTGCACATGCACATAAGCTTACTTGCAAACATACTTAAGACTCTAATTCCCAGCACAATTACCAGGCAGTGTTTTTGAATCTCACAATCCTTATGTGGAACCACACAGGGAATCAAGAACATCCACAAGGTGAGCTTGAGTAAACACACACAAACACACACACACTCTCCAGATGTGTCGTGGGGTGTTGCCTTTCATCTATGTGCGTCATTTCTTCGAATTGGCCTCAGGGGAATACAGCGACACCTCATCAAAACATCTCCACCAACTGCCAAGGACTGATCAGTGGAATGAACAGGCTCCTCTACCTCTCCTTCATCACATTCAGCTTAAAGCTAAGTGGATACCATGGCTTATAAATACTCCAGATCATGTTCATCATGATATTATATATTTTGTGCGATCAGTCTCTTTCTCAGTCAATTCGGTTCATTATTCAGAACAATGATTCCTGTTGTTTATTCTGATTCATCAACTTTGACTGATTCATTACAAAGAATCTCACTAGTCAAGTGATTTGTTCACGTTTTACGTGGTTAATTTCTTTTATCTGTGCAGTTATCGAGGACAAATCAATAAAACATTGCGTCAACCAGTTTAATACCAATATTTTATGTATTTTGTGCCGCATAGTCTCCTTCTCATCACAGGGAATTCACAAGTTCACAACTCCTGAATAGCTGTGCAGTAAACACTGATTTACAGTCTTCCTAAAGACCAGAGATGGAGGGATGAGGAAAAAAAGGATGAAGGTTGAATCGAGGGGGGTGGAAGAAACTGATCAGCTATTG